ACAATTGGATGTAGACTTTATTTTACTTCTATTACACTACATTTTTTTTCATCACAAATATGAATTAGGTGAATCTTTTGAATTGATACAAAATCTATTTGTGGATTTTTTTTTTTTTTTTTTTGACCTGACTGGATCTGAGTATGCTTTCAGTGTATAAGTAAAAGATTTGAATAGCTGCAGTAAAGATACATGAGTTACTGTCATTGAACTATTTCTGGTCCTCTGTAAGAAATTGCTTGTTCTGCTACAGTGATGCTATTCTTGACACAATTGGGAGCACCAAATTCTTAAACTGTAGGAAGAAGTTGACTGGAGAACTTTTGGTGAAGAATAAGCTGCTTGTGAGTCAGCAGTGTGTCTTGGCAGCCAGGAAGACTGATAACATACTGGGATGTGATCAAAGAAATTGATTATTTCTCTTTGGCATTTGTTTGACCTCTTCTATGGAAAACTAATGGAGGTAAATCGGAAACAGAAGGGGAGAAAAAATTTCAACATAAGAACAGCTGAGCATGGGAACAGAAAGGCCATTGAGTCTCCATTGTTGGAGGATTTCAGGCCCAATGGGGTAAAGCCCTGAGCAACTTGGTCTGACCTCATGACTAACCCTGCTTGGAGCAGAAGGCTGGATCCAGAGATTTCTTGAAGTCCCTTCCAACCTTGGTGGTTCTATGATGCTGAAAAACAAATCTACCTGCAGAACTTACCTAAATTCTCATGTGAGCCTTGGCAATCCTAGGTCACCTGTTAGTATTCTATTCTTGCTATGTTTTAGACTAAAAATGTGGAAGTTAAACTATTCTTTAAAATGTATACCTGAAGAAAAACTATCTCCAAGACATCGCATCTGTCTTTGGAATTGGGCATGCTGGAGGAATCAGCCCCTGTATTTTCTGGATCCTTCCTAAAGGCAATTTAGGTAGATACAGACAAAGCTTGGGGCTGATTCGTCTTTCCTTGCTGTCCTGCCCTTTACAGCTAGAAGGGGACTAGACAACATAAAGTATTTCAGGGATACGTCAGGATAACAAACTAATGTGCCAGTCCTCACAGTGATCTGTCTGCTTAGCCATGAGACTGAGGACTTTTTGAATGTGGCCAATTTTGAAATATGAAGAATGTGATTAAACAAGGCAGGTGTGAATTTTGGAGCCACAGTTCTCCAGCTGACTAGTGATAGAGAAAGGCACTGTAAGAGAAAATGTGAAACTTTGAGTTACACAATGAAGTTAAAACAAGGATCATTTAACTACCTCCATCTTACCTTGATAGCGCAATGGTGCTGTGTTTCAGACAAGCTTGCTGTTAATTAAAGACTCACTCCAAGCATTCCTTTTTGGAAGCTCTCTGTAGTCTAGATATCCTCCTGTGCCCATGCTTACAGCTCTGTCCTTTAACATTTGCTGTCTTGCTGACTGCATCTTCATGTTCACCTTTTTACGCTTTTTATTTTCAGGGATTGAAGGAATTTATCAGAAACAACTCACAGCATTTACATACTATTAAGAAACACTCTGAATTCAGTCTTTATGACCATTAACAATGGTGATAATCATTTTCTTTGCACAGAAATTCACTCCAAAGCTTCTAACAAATTTGTATGCAGTGACAGATGAAGAACTGTAATTCCATTACTAAATTGCGGTCATTTCAAAGGGTCAAAATAAGCAGCTGTTTAATAACCTTGCTTTTGCAGAAAGTAATGTGAAAAGTTTGAACGTGAGAGAGTGGAAGTGTTTCCCTTTTAATGCATCTTAACAGAGAAAAATAATCTCCAACTGAATAATAGTCTTCAGCATCCTTAGGCAGTCATAATTCAGTCTTAGCAGGATATAAAAATGCAAGTGATGGGGAATTTTTCCACTGCATACATATTTGCTGGAGGTATTGACGTTTGTGTCTTGCAGTACGCTTGCAAAATAAACCACTCACCAATCACAGATGGCATGGCTTTTGTGTGTTGTGTGGATTCATGGGTGGATTCAAAGGAACTAAGTAAACTAGCTGAGGAGGTATGGTGATGACCTATTTACTCGTAATCTTCACTCAGAAAAGAATTACAAGCAGCTGTTAAATCAGAAGTTTTCTTTGTCTAGTCACTGGGAAATTACACTCAGGAATGATATTTATAGATATACTTGGAATCCGTGATGAGTGATGTTTCATTTCATCTGCTGAAAAGTTGATAACAAAATGAGTACGGGGATGGAAAGAAGAGATGATCATCTTAAAACAGTGAGGAACACAGCAGCTCTTCTCCAAGTCAGCTTAAGTCTTTGTGACAGTGTATATCAGGTGAATCCAACCCACAGGCTGTATGCAGCCTGGGACAGCTAGTAATGTGGACCTACAAGATCATAAACTTTTAACATTATCATGTGATTGTGTGTAGCTCAGGCAGATCGAGTAACGTGGAGGGTAAGATGCAGTGCAGAGCGAACTCTGCCTCTCATACCTGTCACACACGTTGAGTTCACTGTAAACCTGCATGTATGACACCTCACGTGTGCATGTGCCATTTGGTGAATAAAAGGCAGCAAATACCAATAATACTTCAAACTATCTAATGTCGTCTCAAAAGAGAACAGACCCTAAATGAAGGGAAATTGTGGATAATGGAATACTGTTCAGTGAAAAACGGACAAATGAGTAATTTTTTTGTCGAGGCAAATAATATGGTACTCTGCTTAATTTGTAAGGAAATTGTGTCAGTTTTCAAATATTACATTTTGAAGATGTATATCAAGGAATGTTTTGTAAAGACAAAATAACAGAACTGAAAAAAAGTCTGTCATCACAACAATTAAAAAGAAATACAGCTCAAGCAGGTTTTATTATAAAATCTAGTTATTGCAAATCTAGTAACAAATCTGATTGCAAAAAAGATCAAAAACCACTTGCCAGTGGTGAGTTTATTAAGCAGTATACACTGGAAAGTGTAGCTAAGGTGGCTAAGTTGGGGTATAATGTTAAAAAGTTCTGATGATTTTCAAAATGAAATCAGGTCATTTATGAAATCAAAAGGAAAACTTGTGCCAGATCTTGAAGGTTAAAAATGACTCACAGACTGAGCATTTTGGGTGGATTTGACTACAAACATTTTAAAAAGTTAAACATGAGTCTTCAAGGTGAAAATCAACCTGTCTGTGCTATGTTTCAAACTGTAACATTGTTCAAAATGAAACTTAAATTATGGCAAGCTCAAGTTATGGCAAATAGCTTTATGTATTTTGATGTATTGGCTACACAGAGCTCTGTGAACAGAAAAAAAGTAAGCAGCCATACTTTCTGTTTTGATAAAGGATTTTGAGGATAGGTTTCAAGATTTTTTAAAAAATCATCAAAATTTTGTATATTTGTGACTCCATTTTCTGTTGACACGAATACATACCTATGATTTTTAAGAGGAATATGAAGAGTTGCAATCAGACACTCCTCTGAAAGAAAATTCTGATCATGTCTCTTTAATTTTGTAAGACCTCTCTCACCAGAGAAAAATAATCACTTCATAATTATGCCTTATTCATGTTATTGCTTTTTGGCAGTATGCACATTTGGGAACAACTGTTTCCAAAGAAGAAGTACAGAAAGAGTAGAATTTCATCAAAGGTCTCTACGTGGCCCAAGACAATTTGTCTTCACTTGGTACGGCCAAAAGTTTTTACACCCATGCTGTAGACAAACCTTGTTGCTCCTGATGCTTTCAGGGAACAGGGTGTCAGATGCAGGGACCATTTCTTCCCCATGATAGCTGCTGTGTCCTTCCTCTCATCTTCATCCTCTTTAATAGCAACAGGAATAAAAGGCAGTTCCAGAGGGAGAAGCTACATGTACTGCTGACATTGCTGGTTCACTTCTCTAGCCACTGCGACTTTAGAAGTCTACTGTCTCAGGCATCCTTTATTTATGCCTTATACAGTAGGATCTTTGTTTCTTAACTTGATGTTTTCAATTGTGTTTAATTATTTATTTGTTTTTGTCATTAAGGGTTCCAAGTGATGAAAGGATGGTTTAGAAAGAAAATTGTGTTGGGGTCAGTGCAGTGTCCACAAAGATGCAGAGATGTTTAGTGATGTGGGTGCTAAAGGAATGTAAATATTTCAGTCAGGAGGATGGCTTTCTTTATAAGTCCTGTTTGTGAAAGCTTCAGAAACCTAGATATGGTGCACAAAGTCTAAGAAAGAACCATGCCAAACAGGAAGATGATCTGACTCCACATGAATGTCATTTCTCAAAGATTAATTAATGCAGTTTGTACATTTTAAATAATAGATAAACAAGCCATTTCCCTTCCCTCCTTTACTACTCTGGATAGTTTATTGCTTCTCACATCAACAGACAGTTTCAATCAGAGGCAAAGATAGATTAGTTTGATATGGTTTTAATTTCCTTCAGAACTAGAGAAGTCTCTAATTCTGGAGATTAACTGTCTCTGGTTAGTTGAGGTTAGATCCATTTAGACATGATGTTGCTAATCATCATGTACACTAGCTGATTTTCCAAGCATCCTTTGTCTCTGACAAAAGAAGCCACTGCATTGATATAATTGCAGGATAAATAACAGTTTCTGTACATGGATGTCTGTATGTGTATTAAAATATCCATCCACACTTCTGCTTTATATAGTTGAACTAAGAAATCCTCAGGGCGTTGCAGCTACTTGTTGTTCTTTCTCTTACTGCCTTTGTTTCCTCCAAGGAGAGACTGCTCCTTTCATTCTTTCTCCCAGCAGAACTTGAATAAGGAGCTAGATTTTAGATTCTCATGGGGCTTTTAAAAGTTTGGCTTTAACTTATGTTTGGCTTCAACTGCTTTTAACATCTAGATTTTTAGATGCAATATCTTGGAACAACATAGTTATAAACTAGAGCAAAAGATAAGAAGTTGTACATTAGGAGGAAGCAGTTGGGCAAATTAATCTGGTGCTTCTTGCACTTTTTGAAAGCAGAACCTTTCTGCTTTCAGCTGCTCATGAATGCATCATGTTTCTATTTCAGGGTACACCTCCTGGCTAGTAAAAGAGCTGCAGAACATGCCTGGCACACAGCGTTGAAGTGCTTTGAACTTTGCCACGTCAGAACTACTTCAAAGGATGAGGAGAGCTAGGGAATGGCCACATACATGGACAAAGTGCATCTCTCCCATCCTATCTAGTTTTGAAGTAGTTTTGTTGAAAAAGTAAAATGTGCGATTTGGTCCTTTTTCAAATAAAAACAGATGGTAGAAGATTTTTTTCAGTGTTCCCTCGAGGTGTGTTTTTTATAGCTTAAGCTGCGTTAGACAGTCTCTAAGCTTAACAGAACAGTTTTGTGTCTGATGTGTTCTTTTCAGGTGCACGCTGTATGTGATTGTACACTGAGACTGGATACAGAGACAAGGGAGAGACCGAAGGCCCAATGATCCAATCTCATTAATTGTGTCATCCCATAGAACTTCTGTTGATTTCTTCTTCCTGTAGGAGAGGATGTGGTATGGCACTTTAAAAAGCATTTTACTTATTTTTTCCCAAGTTTTCTCTGGATAGAGCAGCTCTAGGTTTCGGAGACACATTACACTTCAGAAGGAATGCAGCTTGATCTAATTCTATATTTATTCACCTTGGAAGGAAGAAACACAACCTTCCTTGTCTTTAGTATATATGGCTGATATCCACAGATGCTCCAGCACCAGGTACAGTTACTGTTCCTGATAAGAGCAGAATATGTCTAACATTATTTATATGCTTCCTCACAAGTTTGATAACTCCACTTAAAGAAAATTGGAAGAGTAGCTTCAACTAACATGATAATTCATCTATTGATAGGCAGAATGATGACTGATGTAAATGAAGACTGCTGATAATGAAACCCTTTTCTTTCACCTGTACAAAATGAAACCTACAGGATTTATAACTGGTTATGCATTTTTTGTAATTGAGAAACAGTGTTTCATATACTATACTGCAGATCTGGCTCTGATTGTTGGTGCTGTTTCAAAAGATTGTATCTTAATTTCATGGTAGTGAAAACTAGATCAAAATCTAATTCCCAATTTTTTTACATTTTCAAGCAGAAAAAAATTGTACACAGTGCAGCTTTGAGAAGAGCATAATTCATTTTCAGAGTGGTTTTAAGTATTATTACAATTCAGGATAGTGCACACTTGCTAAGAAAGAAGAACCAAATGGACTAGTTTAAAATTAGGTAAAATGAAGAAAAGCAGTAACAGCTGCTGGAAGAGGGGGGGAAAAAGTGTGGAAACAAAAATCAAATATAAAATACCTCCATTTGAATCTGAGAATGGAGGAGTTGTCAAGTATCTTAAAAAAAAAAAAAAAGAAAAGAAAAGAAAAAAAGCACAAATGATACTTCACAGAAATCACATCTACAGCACAGCTTTTTTTGTTGTAGTTTCATCTTCATTCTCCTCAGCTATTAATGTGGTTTTTTTTACAGAGTCCCTTTCTTTTTCAAGGATACAAATTTCCATTTACTTATCTCCATATCTTAGGAGATCTGTACTTCCCAGAAGGATCTTTTCTTAAAATGTTTATCTCTGTGCTGTTTTATTGACTTTTTTTTTTTTTTTTTTTTTTTTTTTTTTGTCTAAGCAGAGTTTAATAATGGAAGTTAGTGGAACACAGCAATCTGTATGGGAGGATGAGAGAGGAAGGCAGTGTACCACTCTGAAAGGGAAAAATGACTTCAGTGCTCTCAAAAGGGAATGGGAGAATGATGGTAACCAATTTTTAGTTGGTTTCTACTCATGTGCATCCTACTTTTGCTGGTATCCTGACATGAAGGTTCCTGTCTGCAGCACTGTAGTGTCATGTGCCATTCTCAGTTGCTTCTTAACAGTCAGTTTTAGAAACTCGGGACAGATGCAGCTACAAATATATATATGTATATAAATGCATTATTTAAAATAGAGGTGAAGCTTATTAGCTAGTTATTAGAAATTAAAATACAGACTTAGAGTAAGAATCAGATGTGGCCTTCTCAACATAGTTAAGACTGGAAAACTAATGAAACTAGGATTCTTCCCTCCCCTAAAAATAAGAAACCAACGAAACAATCTTCCATGTAAAAAATTACTGTTAAGTCTTTGTATAAGTAAATACTGAAGTTAAAAAAGGAGTTTGAATAATTGATTTGAAATCCAGTCTCTGCAAGATTGCTCACAAAGATTTAGTTATATTCTTGATCTTACACTGATAAAATTAAAGTTTGTTTTAAATGTTATGTGAACAGCTAAGGCCACCAAGAAACAAGTGAATAGACTCCGTAGCGATTACTCATCCACTTTACATTTGAACAAGCAGGACTAGTGATACTTTCTACTTGTCAGCAGTTGCACAAAGCCCCTTTTTCATGCTGAATACTGATTTCAAAATTCAGGCTGATCCTCTTCTGCAAACTGATGGCAAAAATGCTCATTACCTGTAGGGGAAAGATTAGGATTCATAACCCAGTTCTCCTATACTGTAATAATACAGGTGTTAGGATTAAAACTTTCATAACAGTAAATGTGGGAAGGATTTTTTTCTGAGATACTGAAGCAACAAATATTCCACATATTTCAAAAAACATAATGTCATCTTCTTTAAAATTCTCAGCATCTCTTTCTTTCAGAGAACTATCAATACTTCTTTTCTTGCAACACTGCATGTTATGGTGAACATATTCTAGTTCATTTTCTTTTTTTAATAACAGGTAAACTGTGGGCATTTGTGATTCTAAGCATACATTTGTCAGATACAAGTATTGTCTTCCAGTCCTTTCAGACCTCTAATTGCTGCACATTGCTCTGCTTCTGTAGCACTGCAAAAGTAAATCAGAAATCAGATACTCTAATACTGTAATATGATGCATAATCACCTTGTCGATTTTCAGTTCTGTTACTTACTGTAGTCCAAATTAAATTTCTTAGAACGAAATGGATGATCTCAAAAATGGTCCTGGCGCTCCAAATCTGAAAGTATTGTATTAGCAGATTGAGGTCAAGGATTAGTGGCACGAAGTGCATTAGCAGAATGCTAATCAAAGCAAACATTTCCTCCCTTACTATGACTTCAGTATCTTGGTCACTGCAGTCAGTTAGCAGGCCTGGATCATCACTGTTACACAGCAGAAACCCAAGAAGCACAGCTTTATAAGCAGTATTGGACTTAAAATCTTGCAGGAGGCAAGTGGCAGTGATGGTTCACTTAGTCCAGAAAATCTTGTTAGTAAGAAATGATAGCTGGAACACTAACCAGAGGACCCTCCCATGCTAGGAATCATGCACAGTAAATACAAAGGACCCTGCCTGTTCCTAGGATTCCTAGAGCCTGCTGCTGGACCTGCCTGCTGAAGTGGCTGCTGCATAGGCTGGGCTTTTGAATATGTGTCCTATTGACGTGGGTGCAGGAGTAGTGCGATTTCAGTTCTCAGGGGTGCATGGAAATGTGTTGGAACTTGAGCTCATGAAATGCAACTGTGATCATAGAGAGCCATGCTGGTAAGCCTTAGGGTATTCAGCATTTCCAGCTGCCAGTGCTGTTGGACTGGATGAAGCAACAAAGTGATTGGATTACTTTCCCAACCTCGGCCCAGTATACTTCTAGGTATGTAGATCAGCAAATGGAGGGGCAAGGATGGAGCACAGGATCGAATGCATAAATCATAAACCACTAATATATGGTTTCAAATCATAATAGAAAGCCAACAGTATAAATTGTTACACAGGCTATTCTCAGATAACAGCAGAAGGAAAACATAAACAGCTGTTAGAAGACTACTATAGTTTACATTTTAAAATAAGGTCACATTCCTATTATCTGTTTTCCAGAAGAGATTAATGTCACTAGTGTTTCCATCATCATCTCCCAGAAACATCTCCTTTTGTTTACTGTTACCTTGTGTTCTTAGAACAACCTTAAAGTTCTGTTCAGCACATCTCTGCTTTCACTTTGCTTTCCAAACACTGTCTGTTACATGAGCTACAAATATAAAAGGAACCTTAATGCTATACTATTTCATTTGAAAAAAAAAAATACATTTGTAACATCAAGACAGATGTGAGCATAGCTGAATATTTATATAATTATGTTTCTGGAATGCCTTGCTCCACATTCTCAACACATGAAAAAGATTGCTGTTTTAGGATCTGGCATTAAGATGGTTTCAGCAGTGAGACTGAATGAAATGAGTTTGTTTCTGACAAGCAGGCTTGCCTTGCTGATTCTAATGTTGAGAGACACCCCAAAGAACGTGGGTAGGAAATGGCCCCTAAGACCCTTTTCCAAAATATCTGCTAACCAGCTTACAGACACAATGCATTAGCTGCAGCAATGTAACAGGTGTCATGATCTACTTGTATCTTGGAGAGTCATTGTGGACATTTGTTCATCCATTTCTTCCTGTGACAGCTCTCGCATGATACAATTGAAAATGATCTCCCTTGTAATCCTGTCCCAAAGTTTTATGAAAGAAATCTTCGCTAGGCTACTTCTGCAAGCAGTTTTGATTTTGTCATTGTCGTCAGGTAGCCTGCAGTACATATGGAGGCTTTCAGAAAGAATAATAAAGAATAAAAACTAAGCACACAAGAGTTGCAAATGAATAAGATTTCATCATCCCTTTTGGAGAGTTCAGATACTTGCTTGCAAATTATGGCCCATATATCAACCTAGAGACTGGTGTCCTTCTTCCTTGAGAAGGTATACCAAAGGAAGTTCCCCAGCCTGTGTATGGAAAATTAAGTCAACAGATTGAGCTAATCTGTAACTGACTTGTAGGATGAGGAAGCTGTGAGCACTGTTTTACTTGGAAAGGAAAGATTATTAGTACACACCTGTGGACAGAGCAGGTCAGAAACTGTATCTTTAGCTCTCACATAAGGTGGTGGGTCATCAGGTGGAAATACAGTGGCTAATAATTGTGAATAAGCATGGGAAAGACAAGCAGAATAGGAAACGTCTTGCATTTCAGATGTTGACTTGTTCTTAGAAGTTTTGCTGCTCTATTTATGAATGACATCTCCGTCCATGGTCTCAAACAGCACATTTTTTTCTCAGGGTTTTGCTACAATACTGTGAGTTGTAGTAGATTTGTATGTAACTACTTAGCATTATCCATCCATTAAAAAGGCTTCTTTTTGCCCTTTTTCAGAAGATGAAACATTTTTATAGGAGGCTTTCAGCCCCATTTCTAGATCAAGCCAATTAATAAACAAAGATTGAGCAAAGCATCTAAATTTTTTTGGTGTTCTCTTACTGCTACTGTA